AATAGTCAAAATTTTTAAAATGATAAAAAATAATTTGTGCTATGAGATTTACAATGATGTTGAGTTAATATTTTATATTTGGTTGTAAAAAAATTGCAGAAATGTTGCGTGAATGTTGGTCTCACGTTGGTCTCAAAAATGTTATAGAAATGTTGCAGAAAGGCTGCCTCACAAAATAAAAAATTATAACTGTAAGAATTCTAGAAACATTTTAATAACATTATTTAATTAGAAACAAAGGCGGACTTTTTGTAAAACATATGTTGCAGCAACATTTTTTTAACCAATTCTTGCTTCTTAGGATGTTCGGCGTTTGGTTCGTCAATAATAGGCAAATAGAGATTTTTAAGCGTTATTGTGGTCGTGAGATAGCCATATTGTGTTCCGGTTGTGACTTAATAAATATTAAATTCAGGATAAACTTTAATTCTGTGTTCTAAGGTTGAGAATATGATTTAAATATTATAATATTGTAGTTAAATTATATCATTTACAATTCCATAGCAAATTAAAATATAACAAGTAAAAATTTAAGGTAACAATAACATAAATATCCCAGGAAAACAACTAAAGAGATCGGCACACTATAGTCATTTCTCATGGACGCCTATGATTTGTAATGAGACAAATAAACACAAATAACCCTTTTCCTCACAGTGCGTGTAAAATGGTAACTGTTTGTCGCACTGACAGGTAACGCAGAACCGCATAGACAATTTGAGTATACGATAAGCTCATATAGCATAAAATATTACTGCAATATCTTAGAAAGGTTTCATGAAAGGTTAAAAACATTACTGTAACCTTTTATTGAAATATTATTGACATATTTTTGTGTCTGCCATGAAGGAGATCCAACTACAATGCGATGTATTTGAAAACTTGGGAAGATTGCACTGAAAACTTATGCGAAAGGCGGAGCGTTATGACTGGTTATAGCGCTCGATGCGACGGCTATCAGTAGCGCTGCTTAGAAAGTGACAAACTTATGCGATCAGAGCATGGGCAACTATGTTTACTCAACAAAATAAGTACCTAAAATTAAAAAAAAAATGTAATTTAGTCCATCCCCATTGTAAATGTATATAACAAGTAAATAATCAATTATAAAAGTACCAAGCGAGTTAACTTAAATTACAAGCAAACTTTAACTTTATAACCCAAGTTAGATGCGATCTTCTTATAGTATTTTATGTCTGCGCAACTCACACTGCAGCAAAGTTCTAGGAAAAGTTACAGCAATATGTTTTGAATTATATCAAAAATATTTAAAAAAACATTAAATTAAACAACTTTACTCGCTATATTTCTGTAGTTTTAATGCCATAGATATAAAAATATTTGAATTTTTGCAATGTTTTTCGAGAATCTCTAAAACAGGTTCTTCTCATTTCTTTTGTAAAATTGATATTTTACTGAAGTATCAGAAAACAACTCCTAAAGTACAAAAATAAAACTCCTAAAATACATAAAAGTGTCGCATGTTCGGCAGTATTTTGTATTCTTTTTGAGAATAGTTATTAAAAACGTCTCTGAAATATTTAAAAAATATATGTGAGAATAGGCTTGGGTCAAGTTTTACAAGTTTTTCTGAAATATTTGAGTAACTTATTTCAAATATTTCTATCGATGTTTCAAGCACTATTATTCAAAACTTTGCACCAGTATTTTAGAATCAAATCGTAAATATATTCCACAAATAATTTTTGGAAAATTACGCGCCTTAGTGGTAAAATTGCCTAGCTGAAAAAATCACGCGGTGTCACGTGACAAATCACCTCGGAAAATAATATTCGAAACTACGTGATGTCTCGGAGATTTAGAACCCAAAGATAGCAATTTACATTAGCTCTACACTCAATAGGCTATAAATAAATAAAAGAGTAACGATTCTATGATTCGAATTCTATTGAAAGCTTAATGTAAAATCCGAACCACTAGAGCCATATTGTTAATAAATGTAGCACATGCACTTTTTGAAAAGAGCCATTGGTACTCGCTGGAAATTGAATCCTAGACTTCCGTATAGGGGACCACCATTCTATCCATGAGCCATAGTGGCTCTCAGTCTGAGTAAGTATCATGTGCAATCTTTTTCAAATATTTGCTCTGTCAATAACATTTTTAATAAAGTAATACATAATTCAAATAATTTTTGAAAGAGTATTTTAGAAAGTTGAATGGTACGGTGTTTTTTTTCTAATATTTTTGAATGTTTTTTCTATAATACGTTAATTATAAGGGTCTTAAAAAATAATTTTTTTAAATAATTCATATTTACATTATTAGTGTTTCAAATAATTTTATATCATTAAAATAATATATTTATTTTCCATATGTTTCTTCTAATGTTATTAATAAGTTTTAAATTCGAAATTTAAACTCATGATCTCGTTTGTTTTATGAGTATTGAGCGGGTTTAATCTTAGTTGAGTAGTTTAATCTAATCACATTGATGGTTCGTACTGTTATCTGTTTCACTCAGTGCAATACTAGTAGGCATAGCGAGATGTCTTATATACATATATAGAACAATAGTTACGTTTGTTTGTCTTAAAAAAATTATTCTCCTTATCATGTCTGTCAAAAAATTAATTTTTATGATTGTTGGTAAGTTTTATTCATCTTTTAAATTATTTTATAATTTTTGTATTATTTATTAATAAAGATATAACCGACAAAACATACGTTATAATATATTGGTAAGGTTATGTAATATGATATATTATTTATTTCTGCGGATTAACTCCACCTATGTTGTTTAGTGATTATGACATAATTTATTCTTCTATGAAATTTAAATAGAATATGCTTTCTTAAAGAGCATATATAGAAAACTTGACACGTTAAAAGAAACTGTAACTGCATGTGAAGACCGTACTCGAGAAAAAGCCACGTACCATGACTGAAAACATCTTTACAAAGCTCGATTTCTATTTATTCAAAAGTCTGCGGCCTTGAAATTTGTTGATGGTCGTTTAAACTGAATTGAAAACTGAAAATTGAATAATTTGGTTATCGATATTCGGATGAAAAAATAGCCGATAGGTGCTTGCTTTTTTCGTAAAAAAGTAAATGTGGATATCTTACTTAGTTAGCAACGGAACATCGTGCAACAAGGCGTTTCTCTACTGAAGAGTCCAATCTATTAGTCCGGGACGAATGGCCTTATATTGAAAATAACGTTGTCGAATCTCGAACATGAGCGAGCTAAAATGATTTGCAATAAATTCATTTCACTGTATTTGAAAAATGTTATCTGTACTGGTATGATCGCTAATTCTTTTATTTATTTCGAAGATAATGAGTATATCTATTTTAATAATTTAAGTAAGAAATTACCTACGCAATTTTTCGTTCACCTTATCGAGTAAGTTCTTACCTAAGAACTTTGTCGAAATACACACTTAAAGACTTACATAAGAACTTACTTGATATTTCCAGAAGGGATTACTTGTAATAAACATTGTTTACTAGCTTATTGTGAACTATTTCGAATTAATTCTGAATAAGCTCTGAATCAGTTCTGATACTGCTGTGATTTTGCTCTGATTTTATTCTGAATTAGAATTACGATTTTGAACAAAATCAGAGCAGATTCCAAGCTAAATAAGAACACAATCAGAGCCGATTTCAGAGCAGGATCAGAGCTGAAACGGTTCTGATTTTTTAAAAAAGGGATAATCAAGCTACAACCGCATTTCTGAGCATTAAATTCATATCTACTATCTGCTGCAATAATATTGAGGTAAATTTGTATATTACCAACATCATATACCTAGACACTAAAAAGCTGCAGATTACAGAAAGAGATCTTGAGGATATTATATAGTCACTCAATGCGTTAGCTGTCGATTTTTCTTGCGCGTTCGCAATCATACATTTCTCTGATATTCATCACATTTTTTTATGTCTGTAATGCGCTGACGATGCTGTAATAGCAGTACTTGCTATTTCCCACTGCATGCGTTACCGATTCTCTGGGCGTTTTGAGATCTTTAGGGACTGAAGAGCCAGTATTTTTAAGTACTTAAGAGATCGTTTATACACGCGTGAGGAAGTGTATAAATATGTCCCATACATTTGTTTAAAAAAATTGAATTTGGATCGATCTTCTTTATCTAATGACATTAAAGTATCTAAATTAACATCTTCATTTTCACTATCTTCGTCCAATATTTGGTCAGATAATCAAAATCCATTTTGATTACTGCATAATCTGTATTTGACATATCCTGTGTCGTTTCATACAGATGTGGTTCTACAGCCATTTAAATTTCAACATCACCTAATGTCATATTGTTTTCATCCGAATCATGGTTACATATTTAGTTTTAACTTCTTCGTGAAATAGCTTTCTTTTTCAGTCACTTTATGTGCCTTCTTTGTTTGTCTGATAAATAAACCCGGGAAGCCTATATAAAATAAACACGCACTTACCTGTTTGCTTTTCGTAGAAAGTTCTTGTTTTTTACTTATTGACAGAATACTTCTGTAGCTTCACAGCCGAAAAGCAGGTAGTATTTTATAACTTTCCACGATATTGCCAAATATTGAATGTTTTATAAATTATGAGTAAACAACGATGAAATTAATAATAATAAATTAATATGTTACTCTTACAATTTGATATCTTTTATGTTAAGTAAATGGCGAATTGTTTAATTAGCGGTTTTCATCTAATAGTTTATTTAAATTTGTGATATATTACAGCAGCAATGCATAAATAAACAAATCCTATATCTGAAGTAAAATGCTCAATGCGATTTGTAATTGCGAAAATCAAATATCGCGGATTACTACCACTACAAATGTAGGTCACTTTTTCCAAAGACAGCAACGACAATACGAACAACGATCTACATTTCGGAAAGAACTCCTTTTTGACAAGTCAGCAAACAGTCAAGGTGCCATCAGGTCACGGCACACTATATATAGTGGTACATATACATATATAATGTATGTATAGAAACATGTGATCAGAGATTAGCCGTTCGCGCTCTTTTCCTTCTGACAATTTGTTCAATTCCGATTTCCCCTGCTTGATTATCATCCTCTCATAAGATGTGAGGATGAAGATGCTCAGGAAATTTGGTCTCTAATCTGCTCCTTTTTAGTCGATCTCTTTAGTATTAAATGTGCTATTTGTTTACTTTACAATTTTATCTCATCAATTTGTGGCTTTCTAGAGGTTATAAATATTTGATCGCTAATTGGAAATTGAGGATTTAAAAAGTGATTATTATAACATTAGTAATTTTATATAATTTGTAATTTTATATTGCATGAAGAATATGATTTAGTTTTATGTTTCTATTGTCCATTTTATGAATTTATATTCAATTTATTACACATCAATAAAAATTCGTGAACTGATCACTAATAGATAAATGCGATTTTATTTTGAATTTCTCTTTCATTCAAGTATTTTGTTAGTATTAATAAGAGAAGTGAAAAAACAAAGTAGTTATTGTTTCATATCATATGTCAAAACTAATCTTAATAAATTAAAAATTTTTCTTTGTCTTTGCATAGATGGGTATCACAGGCCTCCTTCCATTTTTGGACAAATATTCAAAGAAAACCAATATATCTGAATTTGCTGGAAAGACTGTTGCTGTTGACACTTATTGTTGGCTTCACAAAGGAGCATTTTCCTGTGCTGATAAAATTATCATGGGTCAACCTACTGACGTGTAAATTTTTATCCTTAAAAAATATGTAGAATGTTTTTAAACCAAAAAATTAATAATAATGTATTGGTTTTTAGGTATGTAAAGTACTGTATGAAATTGGTAAATATGTTACTTAGTCATAATATTAAGCCAATATTAGTTTTTGATGGGAGACATCTTCCTGCAAAAGCAGAAACAGAATTAAAAAGAAGAGAGTAAGTAATTTCTTTCCTTTTCAAAGCTTTTATATGAGTATTTATTTGAATTCTTGTCTAAAGGACTAGAGTTGCTAATCGTAAAAGAGCAGCAGAACTAATAAAAATGGGCAATAATGCAGAGGGGAAAAATCTCTTGAGGAGGTCTCTTGACGTCAGCCACAAAATGGCTTTAGAAGTTATCAAACAATGTCAAGCACATAATGTTGATTGCATTGTAGCACCTTATGAAGCTGATGCACAACTTGCTTATCTCAACATGTTAGGGATTGCTGATGTAGTGATCACTGAAGACAGCGATCTTACTCTTTTCGGATGTAAAAAGGTAGTAATTTATTGTATCCATTTATCATTGTACTGATTGTATTGAATGTAAAATTGAATCAATGTTTTTCTTTCTTAAGATATTTTTCAAGATGGATCTGTATGGACATGGAGTTCTAGTTGAGCAAAGTCAACTCCACCTAGCAATGGGGCTGAGGCTGTCTAATTTCAACATAGATAAATTCAGACACATGTGTATTCTCTCTGGTTGTGATTATTTAGCATCTCTGCCTGGCATTGGTCTAGGTAAAGCTTGCAAGTTTATAGTGAAAAACACAGATGATAATATTTACAATGTAAGTTTTACTTGAAAACTCCTCATTAATAAAAAAATTAATGCAATTCACGTTTACATTAACAGGCTCTACAACGTCTTGCTTCAAGTTTAAATATGAAAAACCTCATGGTAACTAAAGAGTACAGAGACAATTTTTTGCGAGCATTAGTTACTTTTAAGCATCAGTTAGTTTATTGTCCTATACAAAGAAAACAGGTTCGATTAAATCCACCGACCCCGGATGTCACAAAAGAACAGCTCGTACATGCTGGTACAGAAGTTGATCCAGAACTCGCCTGGCAACTTGCACTTGGAAATTGTGATCCATTTACAAACGAGAAACTACATAACTTTGATCCAGACAATGTGAGTCGACAAATTTTCTTATCTATACTCTAAAAAATGCAGAGCATTTATATGGTATAAGAAACTTGTTGCAAGCACAGAAAGCGAGATTTTCTGGAGTATGTTTAGAGGATGTTTAGATGATCATTAAAATCCTTTATTTAACAAAGTATTGCATATTTCTTAGATTATAGTTTCTTTCTATGAAACATTCTCATATTATATTTTTTATTCTAGTGCAAGCAAGTGATTTCAATCTCGTATGGACATTTGCACCTAAGTGAAACGAGGATAAAGAAACTACATGGGGATGAAATCACTTTCTCGTACATGCATTTAATTTTATTTTTTTTGGATACGATATGTGTAGGATAAGATTTTAAGTATGCTCGATAATTTTAGCATTCATAAAGTCAAGTCTCCACAGACATCGTATCGAAAAAAAAAAAAATTTGCAAATCTTAATTATAAAAACAATAATCTTATTTAAAAACAAACAGCACTCATTGTATTGTTCGTTATTGTTGATTTTTTATTGCTTTTTGCATAGTTTCGTCCGAAACGTACAAATTCTTGGAGTGAAACAGCTGTAGCAAAACATCCAAGTATTTGGTCAAAAAATTTTAAGGCAAATAAGGTGGAAGAAAAGAAAATTGTCAACCTTGAAAAAGATAAATTACCAGCACAAATTGCAAGTACAAAAGGTCAAACCATGATAATGAAAGTAGATTCATTAAAGAAAGAATTAACACCAAGAAAAAGAACTTTTGAAGGTGAGTGTTTAATGATTTCAATTTTGCTTCAAAGGATAGTATAGAGGGATAAAATATTTGCATAAACAAATTTTGCACATAAATACTAATTTATTTTAAGATATTTAAGTGATTGACACAATTGTTATAGTCTTAAGGTGTTTCTAAAATTCATTAAAATAAGGAATTCTTAATCAAAAATATTTGTGACTATATAAAAAAATACTATAATGTACTTTTGGACCATGGACGTACTTGAAAGTATTTTAAAAAGCAACTACTCACTGATATATGTTAAATTACTAAATTAAATATTCTTCCAAGTATTAATGTTTTTTACATATAGCTTTTGTCATTTTAAATTTGATTTGTGAAATCATTTATAATACTAGTTGAAAAATCCTAATTCACATTAGTTTTCATTAGTTTATTCTATTTCAATACTTCTATGGATATTATATATTCTACATATATTTTTTTCGTATTTGTGTCTCTTACAAAGTGAGTGTTACCTATAGATTGGTGATATAAAAAAAATTCTATTGCAAACTTCAAAATTATTAATTGTTTGAGTATTTTCAGCAAAAAATATTTTGTTGAGACATTTTTATTCTTCAAATTAACTTTTTTAATACTTTATTTATAGTAGATCATTATTAATGCTTAAGAAATATATGATAAATTTAAATAATTATAAATTATCAAATGCTTGATTCAAATGGGTGTTAAAGTTAGCAATCTTTCCTAAATGAAAATATAAATTTTTCAGCAAATTGCAGTCTTTTTGATTATAAAATTGTGATATTTTAAATTAACCAAAATTTTATTTTGATTTAAGAAGCATTTTTATACAGTTTTTTGTTATATAAATTAACTTCTTCTGAACAGATACTATTAAAAAATGTCAGATTTACATATGAATTATGGAAACTTTAATTATTTTAATGATAACGTAACTACTAAACCATACTCATGCAATTTACAAATGAAGTCAACCTTGGAATTCACGCTTTGTATAATTTCTCCTGATAACAGGTATTATTCTTGGATCTCCATTGATAAATTTAATTGTCAAATTAGTGTTTCCACTAGCATTTTGTCTCTCCAATTCTTGCTTCAAATCTCGAATTTTTTTCTGTTGGATCTTGGTTAAGTCAGTTTTTACGTTGTACTGGTTATTAACTAGGCCTCTATTTTTCATAACAGTAATAACATCTTCTCGACTTTGTAGAGTAACTCGAAGGGGGCGGCTAACATTAGGATTAACTCGTCCTAAACGTCTTGTTTCTATTTCATCAAGATCAACGTCTGGAATATTTTGAAGTATTTCGCGAGCACGTGACGTATCTCTTGCAGCTAATAATGCATTGAATTTGTTGATGTCATCGAGTGTTGAATAATCTTGTGAAATTCTCAAATTATCCTCTGGTACATTGTATATTAAGATATTTTTAGATTTAATTTCTCTATCCTTGATTTCAGTAACAACTGTAGAAACATCAAAGTCCTGTTGGCTTTGCATTGACTTTAAATTTTCCAACTCACTTGTCACACGCTCAAGCTCTGTTCTTAGACTGGTAACGTCAGTTTGTACATTCTCTAAATTTGAAGTTTTTGTCTTAATTGTGTTAATTGATGACTCCAGCTCATTGATACGAGGATCAAAAGTATTCAATTGTGTCGACACAGTGTTCAATGAGTTAGATATATTTGAGATGGATGATTGTAAAGAAGAAATTCCTACCCATACAGTTTCCAGTGTGACTTTACTTTGACCATCATTGTTAACATTCAATATTTCCTCTGGAGTATTTTCTTCATTTGTAGGGTCATTGTTATCAGTATTATTTGGTGACTCTTCCACTACTTCTTCTGTCTCGTTACTCTCAAAATTATTAACATTGCCATTGTCATCATTTTCTTCATTGATAATAATATCTGTTGTTGTTTGTTCAGTAATCTATACAACAAAAATCTTAGTTAAACTTAATATTCAACTTATGTATAAAGCAGCTGACTTAAAGTTGTTTATTCTAAAACTTACCTCGTCAGCATTTTCTAAAGTAGCAGGTTTGTCACAAACACCCATGCTTTCTGTGGTCTTTTGAACTTTACCGTATCGCATACTACCGTCCTGGAAATTGTTGATTTGCTTTGGTTGCTGTTGCTGTTGTCTACGCTTGTTCCTTGTGCGCATCTGATAATTGAAATTAGTGGAAAACACTGGCTCATTTGAGCCGCAGCACAAGCTAAACACACCGTCCTGGATTTTGTATCTGTGCGAGCAGGAGATGTGGTACGCTGAATTACATTTACTACATCGCAGAGTACCAGACGCGATATTTCGCCCGCAGGAACGGCACCCAACCATAACCTAACCTCAGTATTGCGATACTATTCAACTACTCTGCGCCAACTTAACACCGTTATCATGCGGCGTTCATATGATATATCGAATCGTCGATATGTTAAGTTTGACTTCAGATTCAAAGCTTTAATTTTCAATCGCTTGTTCGAGTTGACAGAGTTTCTTACAATGCAAATTCTGTATATTATAAACCATCTCGCACAACATAAACTACGCCATGATGCTTACTTCTTGCAGATGGCGGCGAGCAAGAACGACGAGAACGTTCGACTGAAACTACGCTAGACGCTACGCATGCGCCGTTTCGTAATCACGCGGGAAATTTTTAATTTGAATTTTTTGCTTACAGAGGCAGAGATGAGTATCGAGAGCATTGTTCAAATTTATAAAAGGCCCGATCAAAAGGCTAAGGAACCACTACCGGTAGTGTCGAGAAAAGTGGAGGAATCGCTGGATGAGAAACCAACGTCTCCGGTTTTCGTGAGACGGTCAAACCCATTCAAAAAACTTGCCGAAACATCGCCAAGTCTTTTGCACAAGCGGACGAGACGGTTACCAGTGAAGAGTCGGCTCACACCTACAGTTATAGATGAGACAGCGGTTGCACAAAGCGAATTTTTCGCACCTAAAAAGTCTTCTAAAGAGACAATGGAAGTCGCAGAGTCAATGGATGTCAACATCGACGAGGAGGACTATAAAGAAAATATTGAACTGTGTTCAACGACGACAGTTTCTGCCAGAAGAGTGATTATACCAGAAACTGAGACTTTTGACGACGAAGAGGTGAATTTTGTTCAAAATTTTCACACTTATTTATTATTATGTATCTATATTTTTGAATGATTTATTTCAGCTTCCCAAAGATAATGCTGATGCCGAGAAAGATAGCGGTTATAGAGATTCGAGCAACGACAAAGACCCTAATTCATCAGCCATAAGTTGCGATGACTCTGTCAATGAGAAAATTCCGCTACACGTTGTTCAGAGTAATTCAGCTCAGAAAAACGATAATTCCATTGTAGACTTTCATGACGAAATTAAGGTTGACGGGGTCGAGAAAATTGATTCGCCAACTGAAGATGAGATGGAATTTTCTATTACAAGGGATGTCTTTTCAGAATATAAGTCCAGTATGTTTATGTATGAGAATTCCGTTCCGGAAAAAAGACTGAAAAGAGATAGCTACTCGTCACCTCATTCGCGGAAGAGCGCCCAATCATCGGTAACTAAATAAAATTATTTTTTCTTCAACAATGTATTTATTATTGAATAATGTAATTATTATTAAAGCAAGGATCTTCAAGTAAACGAATCTGCAAAACTAGTAGTACAAAGAAGACTGCCGCTATTCAGGGTCAACAAAGTATATTGAGTATGTTCGGTTTTCAAAAAAAGTAAGCAACTTCCAGTACTTATCTTTAAATTAAAATTTATAAAAAGCTATATAACATTTATTTATTTTTCAGGAACTTTTTGGAACATTAAGTAACTTTCTTGTTTTGTTGTTTTTAAGAGAAAAAAAAAGTAAAAAAATATTTAACTTTTACTTCTGTTGCAAAAACAGTATTACTTATAGACTCGTTCTACTGGCTAGAATACAAATACATTTATTTACTTTTCTCTATGTGCCAATTTATGTTTAGTTCGGTATCCTTGCGTAAAATGTGCCATTGTTTTTCTATTATTGTTATGTACATAGATATTTGTAACACGTATTTAGATTTTTTAAAACAGTTTTGTACAAACAGATATGTAATTAATTATTTATATTTCGGTAATAAATTTATTAAAAAACATTGAGTAATCATAATTTTCATCCGCCCTTTCTATTAATTACTTTAAATATTTATTATATAGCATCATCATTTATAAATATGCTTTTTCTTACATCTATACATTTATATACTCGAGATGGGTTAATAAGTCCATAAAAAAAGTAGATTAACTATTATTAAGGAAAATTTGTTTTTATTTTTCTACATAATCTCCTTTTAGCTCGATACACCTTTCCAGATGTCCTTTGAGTTTTTCTAAGCCATCAAGAAAATATTGTTTTGGAAATTCCTCAAAATAGTGATTTGTTTGTATCATTATTTCTTCATTCGACATAAATCGCTGTTCAGCAAGCCACTTTTTTAAGTTTGGAAATAAAAAGAAGTTATTAGGGGATAAATCTGGTAAATACGGTGGATTATCAACTAATTCGAACTTTAATTCCCGAATTTTGGCTATTGAAATAGCGCAATTGTGCACTCGTTCATTGCCTTGATAAAACAGAATTTTGTTGTTGTTCAAATGAGGACGATTTTCCTTTATTTTCTCACTTAACCGGTCCAATAACGACGCATAATACTTTCCTGTGATTTTTTGTCCTTTTTTTAAATAGTCAATGAAAATAATTCCATGTGCATCCCAAAAAACAGTGACCAAAATCTTGTCGGCCAAGTTAACCAATTTTGCCTTCTTCAAAGCCGGTTCATCTTTAATAATCCACTGCTTTGACTGTTCCTTTGTCTCGGAAGTGTAGCGATGTATCCATATATCGTCTACAGTTATGAATCGTCGCAGAAAGTCGTCCGGATTACGGTGGATGCGCGCCAAGAGGGCCTTAGCGGCGACCACACGACTGCGCTTATTCTCCACTGTGAGCAAACGCGGTACCCATCTTGCCGAAATTTTTTTGAAGTTCAATTTATCATGTAAAATCGAAATGACAGTACCTTTTGATACCCCCGTCATTTCAACTATTTCACGTGATTTTATTCTCCGATCACTCAACACCATGTCATGTTGACCATTTCGGGCGTACTCACTTCTACGGGGCGTCCTGAACGAGGTTTATCTTTTGTTGATGTACGGCCGCATTTAAATTCATTTACCCAATTATAAACAGTCTTAAATACAGGGGCAGACTTGCCATGAACGGCGTTCAACTCAACTGTGATTTCTTTTGGTGTAAGACCTTTCAAATGAAAATGTTTTATCACCGCTCGAAACTCTGTTTTTTCCATTTTTCAAATAAACCACTATCGTATCGTGGAAAACTAAGAAGTGACGCGACCGGAAGAATCAGGGAAGAGGTTGAGGTAAAATCACTATAAACTCACAGTGGACATGGTAGCCTCTTAATATATGCTTGTAGCTTGTAGTTCGAAACTAGACTGATTCGCCTAAGGGAACGCAGCCCTTATATACCCGTTTGAGAGCTTCTATGAGGAGAAAGCAACGCATGCTTCTATGTAAATTCCTTAAAAATTCAGAAATATTTCTTTAACTTTTTCTTTACTTTCTCTATTAAATAACATTTACTTCTACTTCTATGGTCAATTCATCTATTCTCGCCTTTCTTCAACACATTTGATACTTACTTACTCACTTGCCTTTTCTTTTCTTTCGCTTTGCTCTACCCAAATAAAATGCCAATTTGAATCACGCGCGCAAACGCATCAAGTCAGTTGATGGCCGTATGGGACACAGCTCGCTATACTGCGAGTCGACACCAGAGCCAACGAATACTAAAAGAATAGAACAGAACAGGATTCCTCAACAGCGGGGCCTCCGACAAACAAAAATTGTTCACTTTGATCGACGATAAAAACGAAACCATTTGATGGATCTGGTTGAAACTTTGACAGCATTCTAGTTAAAAGTCAAGCTTGCTGTAGCAACAAACGTTATGATACTTGGCGCGCCATCTCTTGAATTTTCTAAGGACTTATTGACCCATCCTCGTACCTATATAGTGTTATTGTTTCATTCTACCATAACCTAATTTTAACATGTTAAAAACTTTGAAGTCGTCTGCAAAGATTTGCCAAAATCACGATTATGATCTCTCTCTATGTATATATATATGTATATATATATTGAAATTATAGGTTAACTAGAAAATATTAAAAAATGAATAGCTTAATTAAATTTTCTTTACGTTACAAAAATTTCGTAAACTTTATTGAATGCAAAAGATTCGCGGGACACAGCAAGTGGGCGAATATCAAGCATACTAAAATGGCAAAAGATGCTCAGCGATCAGATGTTCTTAGAAATTTTATAAATAAACTGAAAGTGGCAATAACAGGTAATTTTAAATAATAATTCATGTAAGTTAACACATGTAAAAATTACTGTAAAATTTTAATTCAATCTATATCTATTTTCATTCTGAATTATTTCTTCTATGTAGTATTATTTTTTCAATGACAGTCTAGAATTATTGTCGAAAATATTTTCAGAGGGTAAGTCTGCAAAACCAGAAAACAATCATAAGTTAGCAAGAGTCATTGAGGAAGCCAAAAGAAAATCTATGCCAATGGCAACAATTAAAAATTTTCTTGAAAAAGCTCAGAGCTCCAAAATTGGTACTCAATCAGCTTTTTTTGAAAGTAGAGGCCCTGCTGGTAGTATGGTTCTAATACATTTATTAACAGAAAACATTCCTCATACACGCTCTTATGTTAATATGCACCTTAAGAAATGTGGGTAAGTAGAATTGATATTTCATAGCAATATTTTTTAATATCTGCCATTGTGCGGTACTTAAAATTTCTTTTTACAAATGCTGCAGGTTTACAGCAAGTGAAATGCCAAGCCAAAATTTGTTTTATGAGAAAGGTTTAATATACACTGAAGTAGGTGAATTTGATATTGACAAAGCCATAGACGATGCCATTGAAACAGGTGCCGAGGAAGCAGAGAAATTACAAGAGGATGATAAAGAATTTATTCAGGTATTGATATTGCATAAATTCCACTCTACACAATGCATTATGTACTTTTATGTATTTAAATTTATTTTTCTAGTTTACATGTGCTGCTTCAGAAGTATATAAAGTAAGGAATAAATTAGAAAAACTAAATTACAAAATCATTGAAACAGATATTTTATTTATGCCCTTCAAGTATGTAGAACTGTCAGATGAAGACATAGAATATGTCAGTAAGTTATATACCAGATTAGGTCAAATGGAGGAAGTTATCAAAATATACAATAATATACAATAATGTTTGTATTGAAAGTTGATTAATCATCTTTGCAGAATCATTTGTTACATATTAAAAAACGAATACCTATGAAGTTGAAATATTTTAATAAAAAAATGTTAAAGATTTATTGTTTGAGTTTTTAAGTTTAGAGGTTTCTACATACATAAGAAGATATCCGACGTCGAATAACGGATATCGGACATATATCAAGATTATCAAAATACAAAACTAACATTAAAAAATTAATATTATCAGTACAATTATTTGTACAATAATATATCATTTAACTATTTTTTTACATCATGGTACACGTCTGATGACCGATATCTGATGTCTCCTTGTATATAGTGAGTTCCTTATCTCTTATTATTGAGTTACTAAAAGAACGATTTCTAAAATGTTATCAAATTCAAGTCTAATATAACAAAAAAATGTGAGAACATTTATAGGTTTTTATATTTTAGATTTTTTTTTCAAAACAGTTCACTTAAAATATCGTAAGGATTTGGGAATCAATTTCAAATTATTGAAAAAGAACGAAGTCACATGATCATCTCGTCAACAGTATCAATATGCAATAACGACTCACTTCATACGTAAACATTTTTGAAAGGTTATTGTCTTTCCATATTTGTCGATTACCGGCGGATTAATTTATAACTAATTACTATAAATTGTTGTTTGAAAATATATTGATGATTTTAAATTTGATAGAAAAATAAGAAATAAATAATACCAAAACTTGACATTCACATTTGGATCTGAAACAAATTGAAAGTTAATTTGTTGATTCGTCAATGTCCTCTCCATACAATTATGCGTAAGTCGTCACTGTTATACGATTTCTAAAAAATTTTGTATCTATTGTTGTCACAATGGTTTATTTTACAACATGAATACATTTATAGTCTTCCTTCAATGGTTGTAAGCAATGTAGATAATACTGATACTGAATCTGAAGTTGATGGAAATGAATTTCTGGAATCTAATGAGTTTGAATATGACTCAATATCAGAAATATTACCATCAACAGAAATGGATACTAATAGTGATCTAGAAGATTTCTCATCTGAATTTTTAGATATTTCTACTACTGATGAAAATGAAGTTAATGATACAGAAAGTTCTACTCAATTAGAATCCGATTCTGAAACCAATGACGAAGAAACAGTAGTACAAGAACCTGGTAAAGTGAATGAAAATATCTATAATATTTACTGTTTAATAATTACTAAAAATATATTTATATTTTAGAATTGAAACGTGCAAAATTAAATGAGAATGAACAGTTTGAAGATACAGAAAGTGTGGATCCAAATCAAAAGTGCCCTATTTGTTTAGCAGCATGGACAAATATTGGAGAACATAGATTATGTTCATTACGCTGTGGTCACCTATTTGGATATAAATGTATTAAACAATGGTTGACATCAAGTAATCCATCTGCAAAAAAATGTCCTCAGTGTAATTCAAGAGCATCTGTTCGTCATATTTGTTTGATTTATGGTAATAAATTGAGTTGTGTTGATGTCAGTCAGATAGAAAAGATGAAGAAACAATTAGATGAAAGCGAAGAAAAACTGTTAAAAATAGCTAAAGCCTTGGCTAAACAAAAAAAAAAAACGAAAAAGTACAAGCAAATGTATAAAGCTAGGACTTTAGCTGTCAATATTCACTCACCATTCTCTCAATCATATTCAGATTTGGATTTTTCTGATTAATTCAAATTTGTACTTTCATACAGTATTCAAAAGCTAATTAGAAATTTGATCAATATTCAATGTAAAAACAAAATATAATCAGATTTTATGCCCAAGGTTGATCAGTACTTAAAAAAACAGATAAATTAAATAGTAATAAATATAGGAATACTTAACTGTACAAATAATATATGCAGTTTCAGTATCAGTATGCAGTCAAAATAAAAATTTTCTTGTATTTACTATTTCTCAATCAACTATTTTTCGTAAAATGTAAGCTGTATTCAAATAAAATGAATAAACACTTATTTTTTTAACATCTACATTTGAAAATTAATTTTAATCTTATTGAGGGAATATGGTAAAAGAAAATGATTAAATTATAGGGTTACAAGAAAGAAAATCTAGGCAATTATAATAAAAAGATATTATATTTAATATTTGATATTAACATGCTACTTACAGTTTTACAACAATAAAAATCAAGAAAAAGCTGTGACATGTTACTTCATGTACATTTAATTCTATTATGTATAAATGAAATAACAATTTATAGTTAGTTCATTCGCTTATTTTATAAAATATTTACAAGCCAAATAAAATTATTATTAGCATAACTTCTGTACGAAAAAGTAAATTAAAACTTATTAAAATAGTCTGACTAACAAGAATATTGAAACTTATCATCAATAATTACTGTAAAACTGAGATCCATAGCCTTTTATCTCATTAATATTAGAACCAGTAAACAAAAGAGTAGGATTTTTTGAAAACCATGATTTCATAACTTGTTTTGTTTTTCTAAAATGTTGAGAACTGTCATTATTTTCTTCAGTCATTATCACCTCAGTTTTTTCACTTTCAGCACATTTTTCATTGTCTGTGCTTTTTTTCTTTTTTTGTTTTAGTTTTGAAACTTCCTCTTCGTGAAGAAATTCTTTTAAACTAATTCTATCATCATTGTGATAAAGCGATTCTTTAGTTTTTTTATCGTCAGTCTTGTTTGCTTTGTCCTTTTTTATTTTTTCAGGGCTATTGACTTCTACAGTTTCCATGGGATCTGCTTCTAAAGCATTTTTTATTTTCTTCTTATCAATTGACTTAGTACTAACTTCTATTTTTTCAGTAATTTTCAATAAATCTTTCTTTGCTTTCTTCTTTTTTTTACTTTTCCTTGCAGACATGTCTTCACTTTCAGTCTCACATGGAATTTCATTTATTACTACAACCTCTTTGTTATCACTTACCTCATTTTTCATATTTGGAACTTCATTAGAATTTTCTTCTTCAGGAGCTTCCTCTATAGTTTCTAACAATAACATTCTTCTTTCTTTTCTTATTTTAGATTTCCTACTCTTTCTCTCGTTTATTTCATTTTCAATTTCTTCTTCATCTTTTATATGTAAGTCCAAACCTTCATTAATAAAAAATTTCTCTGATTCTAACACTGCATGTTTATGTTTCTTTTTTAGTTTATCTGTGACAACTTCATACTTATCTAAAACATTTTTCTTTTTCTTCTTTTTTTTTTTCATAGCATCTGTATTGTATTCTAACTGGTCATTAAAAGTAACTCGCTTCTTACATGAATCCTCGTCTGATAAGTCAAGAGCATTATTTTCTACTCCTGTACTTGTACTTGATACTTCATAATTCATACTATTATAAAAATGATTTGTATGACTGCTTACCTCTAAATTAGGATTGTCAAATTCATTTGATGTATTTGACAAATTTTTGCCTTTTTTAGATTTTTTTGGGGTGGGTTTATCAAGGTCCAAGCCTGGATTCTCTATTCCATTTGATAAGACCTGACTATCTTTATTCCTCTTCAGCTCTTTTAGTGTTGGTTTATCTTCCAATTCTAGTCCTAAATTTTCTTGGACATTAAAGGCAATTGATTCTTTTTTAGCTTTTTTGCATTTCTTTAATGTTAGCTTATCAGGAAAATTTAAATCTAAACCTGGGTTACAAAAGCCATTTTCTATTTCAATTTTTTTAGGTGAAAGAAAATTTTCATCCAGTCCTGTATTATCAAATGCATTAAATAAATCCATAGACTTCATTTTTATTTCCCTGTTATTTTTTGGTGTTGGTTTCTCAGAAATATCTAAAGCAAGATTTTCATGTGCTTCAACTTCAACTTCCATTGTTTTGTTGCACATTGATTTATTAGTATAATTTAAATCTAGTCCTAAATTACTAAAATTATTTGAAATGATTTCATACTTTATTATTCTTGGTTTATTTTTTGCACCAATAGATCCATCTATTTGCATTGAAGAATTAGAAACTGGTGATACAGATTCACATTTGACTGTGGAGCTTTGTGCAAGATATCTATCAGGAGCATTTAAATCAAGGGCTGGGTTTTCAATACCATTGGACACTGATTCATTTTTTATTTTTTTTGACTTCTTGAATTTTTGTTTCTCTAATGATTCACTGCTGTTTTCTGTAACTTCATATATATTCCTATTGCATTTGTTTTTTACATTAACTTGACCTTCAAAGAGTCCTATATTGCTACCTTCCTTTTCGTAAGAATTCTCACTTTTATGTTTCTTAGGGGTATATCTATCAGGACAATTTATATTTAATCCTTGATTATCATAGCTAAAGTCACTTTTCCTTTTTTTCGTAGTGGTATTTTTAGAATATTCTAAATCAATGACATTAGGTACAATTGTTTTAGGTATAGATGAATCATCTAAAATATTCAAATCCAGACATGGATTATCATAAATGTAATTTAAATTCATATGTTTTTTAATTTTCGATTTTGACTCATTGTTTTTTGTGAAACCAAGTCCTACATATTTTTCAGATTCACTCTCAAATTTGCACTCTTCATGATCATCATTGTTATTGACATAAAATTTACTTGTAGGCTTTGTGGAGTAACTAAATCCAACACATATTTTATAGTCATCATTAGGTTCTTTTTTGACTTGACTGGCACCATTTTGATGACAAATATTAGATTTTTTTCTTAAATGATCATCCATATTACCACTACTAACATTAAGAATATTGATAGTTGTCTCTTTAGAACCAATAGGATCATTAACATTTTCCTCTTCTACATTTTCTTCCTTTACGGCACTCTCATTCAAATCTTTCTTGCCAAAAATATTAGCCAAATCTTTTGTACTATATTTGTTAACATCCTTACCTCTTGTAAACTTTTTATAGCTGTAATAAAAAGTAAATTTCATGAATAATTGATATTAAAATAGTTTCAATAAGTAGCAGTTTGAATATACTGATATTACTGCACTCTTTTTTGACTATGCTTTGACTTTTCCTCTAACGATTTGCCACTCAAAATTTTATTATTGTTTTTAGCATCTTCAATATTTCCACCTTCCTCCTTTTGCAAGTTCTGCAGGAAGCGGTTGAAATCGTCTTGATGTTCAGTCCAATGGTCATCTTTATCCTTCTGATAGCCAATACCTTTAACACAAAGCAGTACTTTATAAAAAAAACATCCTCCAACTTTAGTTTTGTAATTTTTATACTCACCAACTTGATCATTTTTCACTTTTACTCTGACATGCTCTGTCATTCCTTGCTCATTAACTCCAAGTCCTTTCCCAACACTCCAACCCATTTTCTCAAGCATCTTTTGGCCAAATTTGTTGGGGTCTACAAAAAAAGCATAGTGAGCATGCAAAATTCCAAAAAAAAATGTTAGCTTTTAGAAGAAACACTTTTTCTTTGAGTACATATAACAGAAGTACAATCAAACAAAGAAAAGTAAATTTCAGAAACTGACAAGCTACACGGACAAGTAAATAATAATTATCCAATTTCTAAGTAACTCATTTCTAACCTTCACTCCAGTGTTTCCCTCGTGGATTGAGAGTAAACTTTTGTTTGCGTCTTGGTTCCGCTAGCATTGACATTTTGTTTCTTGAATAATAAAGTCTCTGGATAAAAATGAAGGACACTTCTTGATGCGCACCTCGATAGACTGCTGCAGAACTGCTACTACCCAATTTTTAACCGTTTCGATCACCAGCGTCAACACAACACTGAGCACACCACGCACCTGGCAATCCTATAGCATTTTGCAGCTGCCGGCGTTGCCGTTATTTGCCTCGAAAAAGAACACGTGCGTAAATTCCTACTTTACTATAGATGGCGGTGAGTCTCGGAAAGAGACGCCGATATGCCAAAACGCATGCGTGATTCATGGATGAATTTTGTATGTATTTTTGTAACTCGGTTGGGTTAAAATAATAAATATCTATCCAAAAGTTTGATACTCGCAGATTAGTAGAAATTGAATTCGCGCAGCGTTTTAATTCGACGTTATAGAAATGAATTTGCTGAATCTTTAGCAATTTTTCCAGCCAATCAAAATATTATTATGCTCATCAGTTCAAGAAATATAAACAATATTTTTCATTGTTACGATATATACATATGAAAAATCAGTGGGTAACATAGATCTCCGCTTCTGTAGGACAATTATAATAGATTACTAATTATGTTCGTTAATCACATTAACGATAGTATTATCATTGCTAATCAGGCGAAGTTTTTCTATAACTTTTCTGAATCCATGTTTGTTAATCTCCCGCTGAGTTTCTTCATCCATAAAAAATATTTTTACGTTGCGGATGAAACCCTATCACGTTGAACTTTTATATATAATTAAGGACAGCTTTTCAGACTTTTAACATAATAATAATGTGGTTATTCTATAGAATTATTTATGTGTGTAATTAAATATACGTATAGTTACATATGTGTGAGCACATATTCATTACATCGATCGATACTGAATGTTCGCATATCTGGGTAGTGAAGCCTTATAAGCCGACGGCGCATGTTATATGATACATATGCGTATGCATAAAGAAAAAATCAAGTTAGTTTTCGCTATCTCACCCGAAGTACTAACTGATCGTCTTCTTACAATGAGCTGCTTTTATTATTAGTGATGTTAACGCGCTACATATTTTCTGCACAGTCCGTATGTAAAAAGTAAAAATTAAATATGAAGTGTATAATTCGTTTGTGCTATGCTATGTATCAGTGATCGTGCAGCAAATAAATTTTTTCTAAATGGATTTTAGATTTCTACTGCGCTTTTCTTTTCTATAAATAAGCAACAAAAAAGGCAATTTTAATTCGACAAAATGCCTGTTTACAAATTGATGTATTTCAACATTAAAGGCATCGCCGAATCGATTCGATGGCTTTTCGCCTATGCTGGTGTCAATTACGAGGATCGGCGTGTCTCCGAGGATGAATGGAAGACTCTCAAACCAAGTTAGTTGGGAGTAATGTTCTTTTTTTTTTTATTGTAAAGTGCCATGACTGCTATCGAATATTTATACGACAAAAAGAATATCTCAAACTTCTTGCATTATTAAACAAACTTTTTAAAATTAAAAATGAATATCTCTGCAACGTTTCACGTGGACGTAGTTCTTGAAGTCACAATAACAATAACAATATACTTCTGTTTTTAAAAAAAATTGAAACATATATAACGAATTCAATAAAGATTTTGCACTTTTCATAAACATCAAATTAATCATAGAGTAATTTGATACTGAGATTTTTTGTAATATATAATAATAGTTACGTTAAGTAGTACAAACGATTTTTCAATGACTGATAACTTTTCTCGCAAAATAAATCATCAGCAATGCCATTCAACCAAATGCCAGTACTAGATGTTGATGGCAAGAGGGTCAATCAATCAACGGCAATCTGTCGTTATCTGGCTAAACAATTTGGTCTTGCTGGTAACGACGATTGGGAAAATTTTGAAATCGATGCTGTTGTCGATACTATTAACGATCTTCGCATAAGTGAGTTTTTTCAATGTCATTAATATAGTAAAAAATATAAGTGTCATTATAATATATAATTATAAAATCTAACAAAGAGTCGACATTTTCTTTGTAACTTTTAATAATCGTATATAAAATATAAAAAGTCGTTGCTTTATTCATATTTTTCTATTTATATTTTCAATAAATCGGTTAGAATCGGAGTTAGAATACGTCTTGTGATGAAAATAGCTTGTAAATTAAATAATTAGGAGCGTTTATAATATTAACAAATGAAATCCTTTCGATGAAAAATATCGTTAAGAATGGTTCAACTGTTCAAAAGTTTTGTGCAATAAATTATTGTTTTTTACAGAGGTGAACGCAGCGTGGTATGAAAAAATAGCCGAGTCTAAAGTCCGGCAGCAACAGGTAGCCGAAGAGATGACAGAATTATTTATCGACCGTCTCGAGGATTTAGTAAAATGCAACGGCGGTCACCTTGTGGGTGGCAAACTTACTTGGGCAGATATTATGTTAGCCTCCACACTCGAGTTAATCAATTTCCGAATGGGCAGAGATGTGATTGAGAAAGCTGAACGCTTGAAGGCTCTGAGAGAAAACGTTCAGGCTGTACCCGCGATCAAAGCTTGGTTGGAGAAACGTCCAAAGACTGATTATTAATTTTACTTGATGCTTTTTTCTACTTCGCAGGCATTGAAAATAAAAACTAGTAATTTATAATTACGATTGTGCATATCAAGCAAGACTATTTCCATTCATCATTTATATAAAAAAAATTTATAATATTTATATAAAAAAATTTATAATATAATACAATTCAAAACTAAAAATAAATGATTTTCTTTAAAGTCAAAATTGCAGTTATCACCCTTGAAATTTAATGTTCTAAAATACTCTGCTTGATAAGATAAAAAGTCATTCGATTATTCTATTAACATTTTAGATTGCACCGTTTTACTTTTATAACAATTCGTAGATTCATTTGTTATTAATAAACAAAAAAAAAGTGTCCTTTGCTATAAACAGTATTAGGTAAAATAGAGACAGGCTATTCGTACTATAGTGTAGAGAGTTCAAGAGAGTAAATAATGCAATGAAGCGCCAAGTGTGTATCGATCTATACGGCATTTTCTGCACCCTTGCCTTCAAACCGCACCTTCGCCAACATGGAATAACTATTTTATTCGTGCTCAAGCCTCAAAATCGAACATTCGTTTCCGACTATTCTGATAAAATATTTTATAACTTCTGCAGCACTCGGCTTCGACTCATATTAACAAATCGCGTTTCGCACATACATTTCAGATAAATAATATCAAGGATTATATTGCAGAACTGCTGCGTTATTCTTCATTGGCACAGCGCTGCAGCTGAAACAAATACCCGTTCGCTCAGTCGCATCGAAGCCGCTACCAGTAACGACGTTTCCTCTAGCTGCAGACGCTGTTTAAGTTTGATGCTTCTACTCGAAATAACAAACCTCATACCGATGTTCTTCCACAAATCAACGTTTCAAACATTTTAGTAAGTTCATTCGAAAATATTGACTCTTGTTCTGTTCCCCGTTGATATAATTATCGATTTTGCATGATACATTGAAATTTTCATAGCTGAAACGAGGTATCGTTGTGATTTTACTTCTATGGAAACAATGTGTATTATATTCAAAAATTAAGTGTTACGTATTGCATTATATTTGATTATTTATTTCATTTATTAACTAAAAACATTATGACATAATAATTGTGTTGTGTCCACGTAAAGATAAATTATTGTCATTCATTCTTGTGAAAATATCGATTATAAGCTGTTTATTCTATATTTGAACAAATTTTCATTTTTTTTAAATTAATTGCAATTAACGATTATCTAGATAAAATATGAATAATATTAACATACATTCAGTCAATCCTTTTTTCACTGATTTGTTTAATGAAGTGAATCTCATCAATTTAAAAATTTGAGTGGCTTTTCAATTAATTATATTCAATATTCTACTACATTAAAAAGATATATAAGATGATCTATAAGATGTGATTATTAATAGTTATAATATATCAATGAAAATAAAAATTTTAACAAAAAAATAGTGACTGAGCTAGTCTTGAATTTATAAAGTTAGGATTTAAAGACCATTAATAACATTGACTATGTTTTGAGAGCACTGGCTAACTGCAATCAGTGTGTACGTATCGATCACAAATGATTTTCACGTTATTGACTTCTCGTGCTCATACGAATAATTCGCACTTTTATAATGGATATTTGTTACAGGTATCTGCAAATGCAGATGGATGCAAGAAAACTACAAATCGACTCGACTCTGAAGTTTGCTCCCAGTGAAACCACCCATGAAATGATTGCAAGATGACAATTACCAGTCCCTTAAAATCAGGCGTTGAATGAATTTGTTAAATGATAAATTTTGATCAATGATAAAATCAAACAGCTCGAAAAGACAGCAAGGTCAAGGAGCTGCGAGCGATAAAATGCACGTGCTGCTCGTAATTCCTTCACTAAACGGAAAGAGAGAGAAGAAACGCAAAAATAGACCGTCGCGCATTCGCTAACAAGTAAGTGCCGAGCGGGTATCGCGTTACCCTGCACTGCACTAAAAACGCGAATACAAGTAACAAGGTGGGAAGGAAAACAAAAAGTGACCGAAGCAAACGCATAGTTTGATAAGCTAGGTCAGTTCAGTGCTGGCTACAACTGAAGTAGCAGCGTTCAGCTTACCAAGACTCAATACGATTTTTCTCCAATTAGATTCTCTATTATTTTATTTCGTTTTTAATTCGTTAATTATGAAAGTTTAACGGACAAAATATACGTTATATATGTACATATCTAAGTACTAATTATAGTATGCCGAACTACAACTGAGGACCTGCATAAATATATATACGCGGACTGAATAAATTTCCAGGACCAGTCACTCATCAATAAAATACTTATAACTAACATTTCTCCAATAGTAAGTTTATTTTATTTTACTATAATTATTTTGGAGGCCTCTGTTTATACGATTCTGTTTCTTTTCTCTTTGTAATAAAATCTATTAAATAAATATTCTACGTAATCAAAGGCAAGAAAATATTAAATTTGCGCAATAATTCATATCCGATTCTCGTATTTGGCAACACCAAATTGCATGCATTTCATTCTCTCTCTCTCTCTCTCTCTCTCTCTCTCTCTCTCTCTCTCTCTCGCTCTCTCTCGCTCTCTCTTTCTTCGCTCTACTCTTTTTTCGCTGCGGAGTTTCTTCTGCGTGTGCGCGAGCCACTCGCGGGCATATCTGCAATCGGCACAGGTTGGGCAGTAAACTGATTTTTCGACGTAAACGAGCGAGGCGAATAATGACTGAATATATTTTAGTACCACGTCCGGTTATATTTCGTTTTTATTTTACCTTCTTGCCTGTCGTATTAGTATGTAGCTATCGAGAACATTTACGGATGCATGCCGTTTAGATAGCAGTTGGCCAGTTTTTAAGCCAGAACTATACGTATATATTACGTGCATAATTGACGCGTGTTAGCACGTGACACATAGCCGCCAATACTTTCGTTTATTACTGCAAATATGTCTTTTATGAATGTTATCCGCGTATATTAAGAAGGAATAAGAGTTAGACTACTGAGAATCAAGGGGAACTCGCGTGAGAACGGCCGGAAAGCTGTTGGTAAATGCCACGAGCTTAAAGATTGGTCGTCGCTGGAAAATATCTCCAGAATTATGTCACAAAAGCTTCCAAGTTTTGTTTTTTAAACGAATGATAAATTTTCGAATCTTGAACGATTGTATTTTCAAGATACACAGAAGTTGTCTGCAATTGTTAATAATGCTCGATCAAACGCCGTAACACAGATATGTATTCAATAATTAACAGCAATTCACAGCGAAAAACGGTTAAAAGAAATTAGCAAAACAAAAAAATCCGATTCTGATTTTATTAATTATACGGCGATGTGCCATAAACTAGTACAGTATCGGGCGCGAGATTCTGGAATGACGCGTGGCCTAATTTCAATTTTCACTCTCGCGATTTTTTCGCCTGTAATTTTCAACGCTTTGTATTTTTCGTGATCACAGTATTCATCACGTAATCATCAAATTTACTTACAAACCGTCAGGGTGCGTGTTGTGGTGAAAAACCAGACCTGATTGAAGACGAACACTCTCCCTAAGGAACGTTCTCCTGTTTCGGGCCAAGTTTTTCACCGCGGCACCCACCCAGACAGTCGATTATCGAAGCATGGTGATTATCTGAACTTACACGCCTCCCCAGTGCACTCAAATTTGCCCGAATCGGATTCAAACCAATGTCTTATTACTTGCGTGTCGATATCTATCTCGAAGCCTGTGGGATACGCAATTTTAATTTTGCTCAAAACCCAAAAAGAAAATATTTACAGAGAGAAATGAGGATAGAAGTGAGCGTGGAGTAAGTCATTTCGTAAAGATTCGTCAACAGAGAAGAGAAAAGCCCTAATTGCGCTATCTTTTCAAATCCAAATTCATTGTTGCAGAGTATATATATTTTTTTCACGATGACGAAAAACATAAAAATCGATAAACGGGCGTTTCTTTTGTGGACAAAGCACTGAATATTATTTATTTTCTTATGACTGGTCATCTTTCACAATGCATGCGTGTAATTATTATGCGTTACGCTATTTTTGTACGATAAAAAATTTATCAGAAATCATTTTTATGGAATTTTCATGCGTAACACAATTTCTTCTGATTGCATTCTCCAAACAAATCGAGCGAAACTTTGATAAATGCAGCGAACGTAAATTCGAATGGCATTTCAATCTTGCCTATATCCCACGTTGGCACGTCAAAACAAACAATAATGCTTCTGTGCACTGGTAGCATTTGTTGTTATACTCTTGAACTGTTTTTGGTTGCATGAATGTTGATGGGCAAACAGTTTCTCCAAGGAAACATTCCACCAGAGCAGCCGACACAGCGTTTTTTCTTCCATAATATTTTATTCGTTGCCGAAGTTACCAATGATACTCGACGCTCATTAAAAATAAAAGCAACTGCATCGAGAAGAATATTTTGTAGCCGCAATCTATTATCCGCTTCGCAATGTTTTTTCGTCATTTCCGTCGAGTCGGACAACCACAGCGCTATGTATAGGATCGAAACGTAATGCTTTCTTACAACGACGAGATGACTCGTTTATTCGCAAGCGATTGCGGATAATTACACTAGAGCAATGTTGCTCGCTCTCGCACCTCCCGCGCGATAAAGCTGACCGGTCATCATCGCGGCAGAACTAGCTTACCGTGACGTTCCTGTAGGTAAAATCTTAAAGAGGGAATTCTGCATAGTCACGCATAGTTGATGAGATAATAGCTTCTCCCACCGACTATCCAATTTATCTATACCGGTCGGCTAGAATATAATGCCTTTGGGTACGATGCTAGATAAACCATTATTCCTCTACAACACTGCCGACAGAGACAACGTAAGATATTTATTCTTCTATCTTTGGATTGTCCCGCTTGTGTTGACGTGTACCAGTCGCTGTCCCTTTTCAACTCTGTATTTTATTTTTTCGGTTGTGTGCAGGAAAATGCCTACCTACAAACTGATGTACTTCAATATCAAGGGCCTTGGCGAATCCATCAGATGGCTCTTCGCTTACGCTGGAGTCGACTTTGAGGACCAACGCGTCAGCGCTGACGAGTGGAAGGCTCTCAAGCCAAGTGAGTGAAATTTTAATTTGAAAGCCAATTTGATTGTCAAATCGAACGATACTTCGATATTAAAAAATTCATATGATAATTGGAAATGAAAGTCACTAAATTGAACGAAAAATTCGTTAAAGATCGATGAATTTCCTGATAATAATTTTAAAGTGTCGTTCAATTCGTCGTTTAACAATTCACGTTCTTATCAAGACGATGTGATAAGATCGTAAAAGCTTATCAAGACCTTCTTTTTAAAAACTATCGGTTAACGTTTAATCCGCGTCGTTGACAAACCTAATCTCTAGAGTAAATACAAATGTACACACAGCAATGCCATTCAACCAGTTGCCGGTACTCGAGGTGGATGGCAAGAGGGTCAATCAGTCAACGGCGATCTGTCGCTACCTGGCTAAGCAGTTCGGTCTTGCCGGCAAGGACGACTGGGAGAACCTTGAGATTGATGCTATCATCGATACTATCAGCGACTTGCGCACGAGTAAGTTGTGTTCCATCTCTTCTGCGCAACCTTGTCATCTAATTTTCAAGTCGTGTACACACTTCGCTTCGGTTCGATGAACTTAGGCTTACCACGTCATAAGAAAAACGTGTCTTGTGTTCGGTTGGCTTATAATAAAAGAATTTACCGAAAACTTTCATATTACAATGTTTTTCAGACTAACATAAGTACATACGGAATTTGACAGTTTGTACTAAACTAGAACATGCGAGCGCTGCCTCCGACATTTTTTGCTTCAGTCCGGCAATAACTTTTATTACGAGCACACTAGCGCTTTTTCTTGGATTTTCATTATTCACAAAACGTGAGCCTAATTAAAAAAAGTCAGGATATTTATTATGCTTTTGACAATAGTCATTTACAGCAGATAGCTTAATGTAATATTTTTAAAACTTTCAACACCTTTGCAATGCCGACTTGATGAAATGTCTGTACACAGGAGAGTGCACATTTGAACGCAGTAGAGATTATGTAAAGCTAAGAAAATGCAATCAAGCTTGTGTTATATTTGCCTTTTCTTGTTGAAGAAATAGTATCCGCTGCTCACGAACGAGTTGCCGAAGCCAAGGCCGAGAAACTGAAACTAGCCGAAGAGACGACGGAATTGTTCATCGGCCGCCTCGAGAAAATAGTAAAAGCCAACGGTGGTCACCTCGTCGGCGGTAAAATTACCTGGGCAGATATAATATTCGTAGCGACACTGGAGATAGTCAATCCCCGCATGGGCCGGGACATTGTTGAGAAAGCCGAGGGCTTAAAAGCTCTGAGACATAAAGTACAATCGCTGCCGGGTATCAAAGCGTGGCTGGCTAAAAGACCCAACACTGAGCATTAATTTACACATATAAGATATCGTAGCTCGTAGCTAGGCTGCAACTATATAATAGAGTTTTTATAATCTGACCTTTAACCTTAATAAAAATTGTGCCTTTATTCACTTACTATGTATTCGTAATTATTTCAGCTTAACGCAGTCAAAGATTTTTCCAATAATGCTTTTTTCTAATTTTTATTTTTTTAGTACATATAATGAAAAATCAATACAACCATTACATAACTATTACAATTTATTATAACACAACTATTACAATATATTATATCATAACTATTACAATAATTTGTTGATATAATGTAGTATTCGACAAAATAAGGGACACTTTTTTGTGTGCCAACATTCATTTTTAAGAATGGAAAACCGTCTTTCATCTTACCTCTTCAAACAATGTCTAATTATATCTTAACATCTAATGAATATTTTTCAATAAAACCAAATGGAAAATATTTATCGTAAGAAGTGTAACAATAAGATATTAGGTGTAATTTATATAAAAATTATTATTCGAAAGAGCAATTTTGTTCCAACTATGATGGAATAAATTATCATGATTATTGTTAGTTTTTTCAAAAGTAATAAAGCACTCATAAATTTCATTATAATAGCAACTACTGAATTATACAAATCTTTTAGCTTACTTAAACATGTTTATATTTATATGTAACAAGACATACACACGTGTAATTGTGAAGCACGCAATATCTATCTAATTTTCAGGTACTAAGGTAAGCATTTTGTTAGCATGACTTATTTTGCATCATTTTATTTGAATAATTTTTTCAAAAGTAATAAATAATAGCAGATGTAATGTCGTCATATTTGTGTTAGTCGCTGTCTGAAAGAATATTGGCCTTTTCCTTATCTTAGATAAATATCTGCTGGATATAATTCATGAATTGGAACTTGAGGTCCCACCATCCGAAAGAAAACTGCGCTTTTAGAAAAAATAATAATAACAATGACATTTTAGATAAATTTGAACTTTTTCAAACATATTTTAAAAACATAATACTCTTCATGACGTTATAAGCTTTTTTTTTATTCAACTTTAACAACATTGAATGTATTACAATAACGTGATTTTCTTACAAGAAAGTGCCTTAACCCAAACTCACCGATTTTGATGATTCTGATATGTTGTAATACACTGAAAAATAAGAGATATGTGTTTCTTTTATGGATAGAAAAATATATTTAACAAGAACCCCCCCCCCCCCCCCCCCAATCCGACCTCACCGATTTTAATAATTTTTTAATATGTTGTACTCGACAAAACAAGAGACACGTAACTTTCTTTTTGTGCCGACATCTACTTTTAAGGGTAGAAAACCATTCCTATATCTTACCATCAAAATCGTTTTCTTATATCTCAGCATCTGATCAAAAGAATATTTTTTTTAATAAAACCAAGTGGAGAATACTTGCTGTAAGAAGTCTAAGATATTCGGCGTATTTATTTGCAACCGTTATTTTATATTTTTTTTAAATTAGATTTTTATTAATTGTTTTCCTTGATGGTATACCTTATGTCCTTACAGATAATATATCTTATGTCAGTGATGAAAAATTAATTTTTTCTTTAAAATACTCATACCTTTTTAATGAATTAATGAATTATAATTTTTATAAGGTTATATTAGAAATAATAATTATCACAGGACCATAAAAACTTTTGCGGTGTCTACTCGGGCTTCCGTGAGTGTACTGTATTTTTTTCGAGCCGCTGATTGCGATATTTTTTCAAAATTATTTAGTAAGTTAGGATTCCATCAATATTATTATTTTTTTATATAAAAGTCGTGATTCGAATGAGCAATTTCTCTCCAACTATGAAGGAACAAATTAATATTATAATTACATATTCAAAAATAATGATAACATGACAAAATTATAAATATTAAAATTTTAATTATATTAATACAATTTACAAAAATTAAAATATTAATATATACTTATGATAAATTAACGCTAAAAGTGATATTCACCAATTTTATCCTGTTTATGGGTTATTGAATAAATCTATTTCATTGATACGCTAGTATCTCGAGCAGATAAACCAATCATATTTATGGCTTGCAGGCAAGAATTTATTCAACTTATCTAATGAAAGTTCAAGAGTAATAATTTAAAGTACTCACTAATTTCATCATAGTAGTGACTACTGAAAACATCAAATCTTTTAGTTTCCTCAAACACGTCTATATTCATATGTAACAAAACGTACACGAATAATTGTCAAACGCATAAATGTCATTGGTATACATTTCTTTACAAATAATCATCTGATTTTCAGATACTTGCGTAAGTATTTTATTACCTGTGATTTATTTAACATTATTTTATTTTATTTTATTTTTTTTATTATTGCAATCATTTTATGTGAATAAATTTTTTAAAAGTAATAATAAATATTAGATGTAATGTCAAAAGTTTTTTGTTATTTTTTTATTTAGTTTAAAAGTAGTACTTTTAAGAAAATTTCGAATTGAATTTTTTTATTTAAATCATTTTTTATTTTTTTTTATTTTTGCATCCGATACGCCTAAGATCTTACAAGGGAACCACCCCAACCCGACCTCACCGATTTGAATGATTTTGGGATATGTTGTAGTACTTGAAAAAAAATTCGATACGTGTTTTCTTTTATGGGCCCATAAGGGCTTTTAAGGGGTGAAATCCACCCTGAAAATCAACCCCTAAAATCAGTTTTTTTAATATTTCTCAGCATCAAATGAATATTTTTCAGTAAACTCAACGTTAAAAAATTTCTTATAAAAAGGCGCTTTTAAGGACATAACATTTATACCGAAGGGTTGCAACCCCCTTTTTAATAGGGGTAAATACACTATTTTTTGTACTGTTTTACGACATGTAATATAGTAAATCAGCACGAGTGATTTAAAAATCGCACTGATAATGAGAAAATACCAAAATTAAATTGACGTGTTTCCGGATTTAAAAAAAAAATGTTTAAGGGGTGTTTCACCCCCTAGAAACCACCCCGTAAAACTATCAGCAGGTCAATCTACCTAACCCTGGGATAAACAAGCTTAGTCGTTTGGTATTTCTTGAAATAATTTAATCCTATGCATGAGCGAGCTACCTCAACTAACCAACCTGCCTCTAACCCACCAAACCCCCATAAACAATCCTTACCGAACCACATGCGGGCTAACCTTATATAAATAGCGAAAAATAAATGAATAACATTCATGTTGCATAACAATATGTCCCAAGTATTACAAATTTTATGTAATCATTATTATTTTCTTTTCATTGTAAATACAAAAAAGATAAAAATAGTTAATAACGGCTTATAAATATAAGATTTGAGACGAAAATAAATTATAAATAATTATTAACTATTTTGTTTTTTTGAAATTAATAATATCAGTTATAGTATCAGTATTTTTTAAATATTATTTGCATTGTATTACATATAGCTGTGTATAAAAGAGTAATAATGATAGTTATTATTTTTTAAACGTAAAGTTAATTCGTAATAAAGAAAAATAACAAGTAATAATAGTTAAAAATTATTATATTATAAGTGGAAGTTTAATATAGTTATTATTTCTTTTTTAATCATTTACAATTTATCAATGAGAAAAGAAATTATAACAAATAATTGATTATATTAATAGTTATAAATAGTTATTATAGTCTCAATTCCTATACTTATAAACTGTTTACTTTTTTCAATTTTCACTTGTGGTTTAGTTTACTTTTTGTTGGTACTCTACTTTGCTGTACACTTTATCTTATTTACAATTTTGTCTTATCAATGGCTCGAAGAAGATAAGTTATATCAAATCTACGCCCCTTACGATAATAAGACATCCGATACATATTTCATTATTCATAGTAGTTGAAGAAAAGTCAAGTATTTAAAAAGTTAAAGTTTTTTTATAGTGCTGGATTTATAAATAAACTTATTTCTGTATTTACATACAAATTTCCCGAACACGAAAATATAGTACATAACAAGAAGAAAAGTTTTTGTCTACTACGTAAGTATTTATGTCACTTATCATATATAATTTTATTCAAATATTTTGATTTGTAAACATGAAATATAACTGTTAAAAATGTATGATCGAATTCTATCTATAGACTAGGTTTTCTTTTGTCTTTTGTAAAATTATTCAACTGCAAAAAAGAGTATTTATATCTTGATTTTGTTTTAGATTAAAACATGAAGATCAATCCTTTGAACGTAGTCAATTTATTATTAACATATTTTCAAAGTTTACAAATACCAGATTTTATTTTGTTATTTAGACCAGAAAATGTGCATGTGGAAGCATCTAAATCTGGAAAATTAACTACAAGTTAGTATATTTTTGTTTATTATAATGCAATGACATAAAAAAATTTTGACATTTTTTTATTTTAGAATATTTTAAAATTTGGTTGAAACAAGTTTTTTACCCAAATGTTGGACGCAATCTGTACTTTTACTCGACTCTTGGAGTGGACAGTGCGATAAAGCTGTAAGGGAAACGATGCCGACAAACGAAATTGTTAATATAAAAAAAATTCCCACAGGAACGACAGGGAACATCCAACCACTCGATTTTTATAGATTTCGTATCTGGAAAAACTTCGTTCGACGTTTATCAGATCAAGTAATTTTGATGGACTATGAAATGAATCTACATTTAAGAAATAACATCATAAAAATACAGTCTCTTGTCCATAACCAGCTTTCTTCACCAAGATATACAAATATTTTTAAATACGCTTGATATAAAAGTGGCTACATTGCTGAAAAACCAGCTAAAACAGATAACCTTGTTGATTTTAGTTTTGGGATATTTAGATTTATATATTTTTAGATTTTATATATATTTAGATTAATGCAATTGCAGTATTCACGAATCCTTTAAACGTAATCAATTTTTTTTGGCATACTTCTAAACATTAGAATTAACAATTAATAGCCCAACTACTTATCAAGAAAATCAGTTAACGTAAAACATAAAAATATTTTATTAGATTTGATGAACGAATTTCACGTTGCAAAAATAATTTCAGAAGAAACGTTAGATTTGCAAGAGCAATACAAAGATCCTGATGCACAAATTATTATCGAGAACGATATAATGCATCATTTTCCTTCTGCTGTACAATTTCCAACAAATTAATATAAAGAAGATAGAGAAAAATTATCTTTTGATTATAAAGAAAGAGCAGTAAATTATTGGCGGAGTGGGAAAAGAAAAAATTTGAGTCTTGAGAGTGCGAAAAGGTATCTTCTGTCAGTCAGGTTCGACGTTAGGTTCACACAGTCAACCAAAGTGGTACATACAGAGAAAAAATTGCTTGAATTTGTGATTATGTATTATAAAATTAAAAAATCTGCTGTCAACACTGTATGTGTATTTGCGTCGTTAGGCATTACACGCAAAAAAGAATTTAGAGTTTAAAGATTTTAGATTTAAAGCTTCAAAACACTGTTTATCAAAATTTAAAATTTCTCACAGAAAAGTATCTAGAAAAATTAACAAATTCGTTACTCGAAAACTTTCGAAAGTTGTGCAGAACTATAGAAACAAGCTCTTAAATTTGTTACTAATGTGAAGAAAGCTATTCAAGAAATAGGAATTTATAATACATACGAGTATAATACAGATCAAAGTGGATTTCAATTGAAAATCCACTCTGGGAGGACATTTGCCGTGGAAGGCGAAAATCAGATTCAAAGAACAGATATTTTTGTTTCAGGGAAATAGAATCCTTACTTTAAAAAGGAAGATAAAGTTATTAAATAATGCAATAATAAATATTATAAAGTTATTTCAAGTAAAATATTAATAGCAATATAAATAATTTTCGTCTGTTGAAATTTAATTAAAATGGCTATCAATCCAGTGGTTATATGATATTTTACGATGAAATAAATTTCATTTGACTGTTAACGTAATTTAACTTTTATTATTATTATAACAAAAACACTTAAAATAGCCAAAAAAATTGGAAAAAATA